CCACATACAGCAACTAGAAGGATGTGCAGCTACGACATACAACTATCCACTGGGGCTTTGGGGGGAAAAAATAAAATAAATAAAATCTTTAAAAAAAAAAAAAAAAAGAGGTAATTAAGTTAAAATGAGGTCATTCGGATGGGCCCTACTTAAATATGAGTGGCATCCTTATACAAAGAGATTAGGACACAGAGGGGCACAGGTGGGAGACCATATGAAGACACAAGGAGAAGACGGCTATCTATAAGCTAACAAAAAAGGCCTCAGAAGAAACCAATCTTGTCAATACCTTGATCTTGGACTTTTAGCCTCTAAAATTGTGAGAAAATAAATTTCTGGGCTTAGAGTCAAGATGGCGGCATAGGTGGACTCTGAACTCACCTCATCCCGTGGACAGAGCCGATTTACAACTACTCTTGGTAAAATTACCCCTGAGAGAGAACTGAACACTGGATAAGGGGAACCCTTGAAACAAACGACAATCCTAATTGAGGGGGAAGAGGCAGAAATTCCCTTCTGGAGAGAAAAAACGCCACCTTCACAAGGCGCAGCACTTCACGGCCACCCAGGAGCAGCCCAAAGGTACGGAGCCTTCCCTGGAGGAGTGGGGGCCCTGAGCTGGGAAGCGTGCCCGCTATAGGCATTTTTTGGACCCAGCACAATCGAGACGAGTGGCATAATATCTGACTTTGCTTGCTACAAAAACACTGGGGAGTACTCCCAGAAAAGCTGGTTCACAAAGAAATTAAAGCTGGCTCTTAAAGGGCCCACACACAAATTCACCTGTCTCGGAAAGCAACCTAAAAATCACCAGAAAGAAAGGTGCACACTCCTTTGGTGAAAAGAGACTCACCTGACAGGCTCTGAGTGCATCTCGGTGAAAGGTGAGACCTCTCCAAGGACTGGGACATTGGCGACAGCCATTGTGGTGGCCTGGTGTGGGCGGGCTGATACACACACTGGCAGACGCCATTGGAGTTCTCCCTGGGGCCTGCTAGCCCAGGGTCTGCGCCATCCACTAGAGCACCGATTTAATCCAGCTCAGCCAGGGCAGGCAGCCCACAGTAGCGACTGGCCCCACTAACAACAAGCCCTCAGGCAACTTGTGGGCCCTCATAGATTGGTGATTGGATTCTCTGCAGCCTGGCGATGGGGTCCACCTCTGTGGGGCAGGGTGTGCACAAGGAGCAGGTGGAGAGTGTGGGGCGTTGGTGGAATGTATAGGGCTCCTGCCTTGCAGAGACTGGGTCCACTTCAGGGGGTTGGGGTGCGCACGTGGGGCATGTGGACTGTGTTGACTGTGTGTGTGGACTTGTGGGCAGCAGGGCTCGTCAGCTGCAGAAGACTTGTGCTTCTCAAAGACCCACATAGGGGATTGGCCCTACCTTTCAACGCCTGAAACATCTGGGTGCTCCCGTGCCTGAGGCCAGCCCCAACCAGCTGCAGCCCTCAGAGAGCTGACAAGAGCCTTACAGGCAGGAGGCTTATAGCAACTGTAAGCCCCTGAGCCTAACAACCAGCCACGCTGGTGGTCTACTCACTTAATAGAAAAACTGCAACAGGAATATGCTATTACACCTTGTGGCCAACTGTGCTGGGGCTCCCCACACCCGATAAAGAGACCGAAGGGCCCACAACAACTGCACGCAGCTGAGCATTACAACCAGCTGGACAGGGGGACAGCTCAGCCTCCCTGGGCACCTACGGGAAAAGCAACCCTGCCACAATAGAAGGACACATGTAGCCCACACAGGGGTCACTCCTGGAATATTTGGAACTGGTGACGAGAGGGAAGCCAGGCTTCATAAGGCATCACTTACATCAGGTCACCTCTCCAAGATCAGGAGATGTAGCTGACTTACCTAATACTTAGACACAAGCACAGGGAAAGAGGAAAAATGAGGAGGCAAAAGAATTTGGTCCAAGTAAGGGAAGAGGACAAAACCTCAGAAAATGAACAAAATGAAACAGAAACGAGAAACCTACCTGACAACCCCGTTAAACTAACAACCCAATTAAAAAATGAGCAAAAGACCTGAACAGACCTTTCTCCAAAGAAGATATACAGATGGCCAACAGACACATGAAAAGATGTCCAACATCCTTAACTATCAGGGAAATACAAATCAAAACTACAACGAGATATCACCTCACACCAGTCAGAATGGCTATAATTAACAACACAGGAAAAAACAAGTGTTGGAGAGGATGTGGAGAGAAGGGAACTCTCATACACTGCTGGTGGGAGTGCAAACTGGTGCAGCCACGATGGAAAACAGTATGGAGATTCCTCAAAAAATTAAGGATAGAACTACCATATGATCCAGCTATTCCACTACTGGGTATTTATCCAAAGAACATGAAAACACCAGTGCATAAAGATATATGCACCCCTGTGTTCATTGCAGCATTATTCACAATAGCCAAGACTTGGAAGCAACCCAAGTGCCCATCAAGGGACGAATGGATGAAGATGTGGTACATATACCCAATGGAATACTACTCAGCCATAAGAAACAATGAAATCCAGCCATTTGTAACAACAGAGATGGACATTGAGGGTATTATGTTAAGCAAAATGAGTCAGAGGGAGAAGGTCAAATACCGTATGATCTCACTCATAAGTAGAAGATAAAAACAACAACAAACAAACACATAGAGACAGAGATTGTACTGGTGGTTACCAGAGGGGAGGAGGGTAAGGAGGAGGGCGAAAGGGATGATTAGGCACATGTGTGTGGTGATGGATTGTAATTAGTATTTGGGTGGTGAACATGATGTAATCTATGCAGAAAAGGAAGTATAATGATGTATGCCTGAAATGTATAAAATGCTACAAACCAATGTTACTGCAATAAGAAAATAAATTAAAAAAAAAAAAAAGACTAGAAAGGAGACATGCAGGTGGCGGGAAAGGGTGGGGAGGAGTCACTTACTCAAAGAAACTGTAAGCTCATTAAAGCCAACTTGATCAATTATATGTGGCTATTGACAGCAAAAGTTTTCATCTCAGGCTTATTTCCCAGAGCGTGCTCTGGCCTACAACACTCACACATTCCCACAATCTTCCCACGTATACTAAATGTATGCTGAGAAATAAGAAATTTTATCAAAAATTTGAGCTAAAGATAACTACAAAAGAAAATCAGTTGCAAATTAAAGTTCAGAAATGCATTTTAGAATTATAAATGGACTTGGGATTATCTACTTCAAAAAGATCCATGATAATATTCTTTAGAACCCCAAGGGGAAATCAAGACCTGACATATTAGGTTTAACCATACAAAATTGCTGATACTTGTCCACTTTTACCTGCAAAATTGCAATTTCATATAGTTTAACTTAATATTGAACTTCTTCTTGGCAGGGGAGGGAAGAACTTCCGTGAGGCCAAAATGATGTTACACTGAGACTATACGTTCCAGAATTAAAAACGTCAAAATATTCTGCTGAGATACAATCTAGTCTCATCAATGAAAAAGACAGGTGTCATCAAAAATATATGTACATATGTATGTACAAATGTGTATATTAAGCTTTTTTCTTTAGGGGCCAAAGAATTCCTGGTTCTCAGCAGTGTTTATTAAGTGAACAGATTAGCTGCTTTTTCTCAATGCCAATATCCCATCTCCAGCGAAGGTGTCAAGATCTTGATGACAAAAGCAGAATTTGATAGCTAGTGAAATGAGTCTGGCCACAGGAGCACACTGCCTCAAACGGCATCAAGATTAATTCCCATTTCATTTCTCAGGGAATGTCTGTTCTCATCTCCTGCAGGAAGTTACTCTTGACTGCTTTCACCATTTATATGTATTTTTATATAATTTTCAGTGCTAATTGTTTTTTTATAAGCTTTCATTTTTACAGGGGCCACTATAATGCTCATAATTAAACTACCAGTTCACCAAAAAAAAAAAAAAAAAATTCTGTTAAGTCACTCAGTCCATTGGTACCTTGTTATGGCAGTCCTAGTAAACTAATACAGAAGTCATTAATACAGATATAACACAAAAACAGAAGTAGAAAATATAATGCTGGAATAGCATATAGAGCAAGAAGTGAAAAAAGCTGAGCACAGTTCTCTGGAGAACACCAACATTTTAACAGCAGATTATGAGCAGCCTTTGAGATGCTCAATATAATGCTGAGGTGGCAATAGGATATACAGTTTAATGTAAATTAAAATCACAATTGTATATACATATACCTATCAGAAGTGCTAAAATTAAAAAGACTACTAAGTGGTAGTGAAGACGTGGAACAATGGTGAACATTAGCATAAATATATTAATTAAAACCAAGAATGCAGATGCAATTGTCTAGGAAGAGAATGAGGAGAAAAGAATCCCAATAACTAGAATAGAGAATAAGCCTACAAAAGAGACTAGGAAGGGAAGTGGGGGGAGTTAAAGGAAAGGAGACAGAGGGGCAGGAGAAAGGGGAAGGAAGATGTATATGGAAAAAGAGGGTACAATTCATATAGAACACAAATACAGACATATATATGACCCGTTGGGTATTATAACTACAGATTTTTAAGCCATCTTCTATTTCTTAACTAAAGGCAAAAATATAGTCGGCCTCAGTTGGACAAGTCAAGAGGCAACATACAATCTATGTGGCCTTTACACAAATAAGTATCTAAAATAATTTTCCCCTTATACTAGATAAGTTTCATTCATTAAGAAACAATTTATAGTTTCTACTGAGCATATAAGATCGTATCTAAGAGGATAAAATGATGGCTATAATAAGGTGTCCATAATCAAGATTACTATACTCTAACATGAGACAGATGTGTTTATTATTATCTATAAAAATAAAATAAGCATAAAATAATGTGTAAAAAGAAAGAAAAATGACGTAGTTTCCTAATATCAACGAAATTTAGGCAATTTCAAGAAGGCTTGGATATTGTAATTTTTCTTGTGATCACTAAATTAATTTGCCATTACAATAATGTGTTTACAAAAGTATAAACCTAATAATATGAATCTTACTTTCAGGAGTTTCTTTCTGCCATTGACTTAGTTCAGCAGTCAAATATTTCATTTGCATAATTAATAATGACAGCTATTAAAAAAACAACAAGAGAATAAAACAAAATTATTTCTTGTGGAATACTCATAGCTATTCATAGATGAAAGTATAGACATTCTTATTACTTTAATACAAGTTCCTAACATTAATGGCTAACATAATACCCAGCTAAACTGTAAAAAATTATCACTCCAAACACAATTCTGCTTTAAACCATACTCATTATAGCTCATAAATTGCCTGTTATACTAATGATATAGTATTAAAAAATGATCAATTCTATTTCACTACTCAACCCTAAAATAAAAGAACATAAGTACATTAACTTTATCCCCTAAATTTATATTTCTTTAAAAAATAGGATATTATTTCTTGCCAACATTTTTTAGACAAATTTGATTTAAAGATGTTCTTTTTCCTCTCTATGCCCTTTCTGAAAAATTGTAACTGTTTTTAGCTGAGTAGATAAATATAAAATTAAATACATATATAGAGACAATTATGAGACTGGTTCCACAAGCCACATAAAACACGTAAAAACCAGTTTTACTACACAATAGTTTGTAAATCGTGTACCCCTTTAGCCAAAGATAAATTAGGATGAATATGTTTCTGATAGTAGGTGTCTCCAATCATTGCAATTTTGATAATTACAAATCTATGTGATAACTCTGTTGCCTGATTAGACCATAAAATTACAGTCCATGTATGCTTAAAGTAAAATTTCAGAACATTTTTTATCTCCTCTATGTAATACTTATTGGTAGCCAGACAGATCAAAAATTCAAATTTCAAAAATGCAGTGGGTAAATACTATAATATTTACACTAAAAGGACACCAACTACTGTCTTTTCTAATCCATTTTTATGATAAAGAGCAAGTAGCTCAAAGACCTTGCTCTGTATCATAACATTGCCTGTTAAACAGTCAGAGGAAAAAAACCTCAAGTCTCTTTGCATGCTTTATATAATTATATAAAAATGCATTTACAGGTATTTAAAATTTTTACCAAAGAGTTTAACATTATTTTCTTATAAATAATTAAATAAGAATGTGAAAAAGTTTTTTGTGAACTATAAAGTGATTTATAAATGTTGATTATTATTAGGAAGGGATAACAAATTCTTAGAAAGCAGTATCTAAACTAGGCAAAACTATCGTGATAAGGAATCCCTATCACTTTTCCTGCATATATTAGGTTGAAATATATAAAGTTACCATTATTCATTTCTGAACCTATTAAAGACCAGTAATTTCATACAGTTCAACCTCACACTGTATTGACGAAGCACACCTCTTACCTTACCAAAGCCCAGGTAAAGCAAATACCCAAATTATTTCTGATCTTGCTATAAAAATTAAACAACCCTTTCTAAGAAAAGAAAGTAACAGTAGTATTTCTAAAGTGATTTAAACACAAAAAATTTGAGAAATCCTGCTATTTTTTATTTAAAATATCTAACTTCTTGCTTTAGAAAATGAATTGAATTTTAATATTGAAGTTTTGAAGTTAATAGGTGTGCAGAAAAGAGTTAACAAAGCAAGCATGAGACTGTCCTTAAAGGTCTGCTTGCAAGGTTGGCTCTTGGCTGGCATCTGGGAATTTGGATTTTGAGATGGTTCCCACCAACCTAACTGATAAGACTGGCTCACTGTGCCTAAACTGTGCGAAGACCATGATTTATGCTGAATACCTGCTTTCCTTCTGGGAGCCCAGTATTTTGATAACTGCTAGGCAGAGGGTGGCCACGTGACTAGCCCCTACAAAACACCTTGGGCCCTGAGTCTCTAATGAGGTTCCCTGGTAGACAACATTTTGCACTTGTCAGAACTCTCTGGGGGAATTAAGCACGTCTTGTGTGACTCTACTGGGAGAGGACTCCTGAAAGCTTGTGCCGGGCTTCCTCTGGACTTCACCTCATGCTCTTTTTCCATTTGCTGATTTTACTCTGTATCCTTTCAATGTAATAAATCTCAGCCATGATTATGACTATATACTGAGTCCTATGAGTCCTCTTAGAGAATCATCAAACCTGGGAATAATCTTGGAGACCCTCAACACAATAGGAAAAGGCATTTTGTGGATTCTCTAGATAATGTTATTATTGACTATCTCAGGATACTGCACATTTACAATTACATCAGCACTCCCTTAAAGCTAGTGTCTGGCTCATTGCATGAAAATCATTTAGAAAACTTATAGGCTCCATCCCCACCCCATTCTGCTTCAGTAGGTCTCAATTTCTACAATATAAGAAGCACATTTCTCAAGAGAACCAGATGATAGTTTATTTACTGTATAATGCTTTTCCAAACACAAAATTCAGTTTTACACTGTACAGCAGAACTCTATATTTATTGATGGATAAAATAATTTTTACAAAAGATAGTTTAATTTTTTTTTTTAAAGTGAGGAAGATTGTCCCTGAGCTAACATCTGTTGCCAATCTTCCTCTCTTTTTTTTTCCTCCCAAAAGCCCCCAGTACGTAGTTATATATCCTAGTTGTAGGTCCTTCTAGTTCTTCTATGTGGGATGTCACCTCAGCATGGCTAGATGAGCGGTGAGTAGGTCCACGGCCAGGATCCAAACTGGCGAACCCTGGGCTGCTGAAGCAGAACGCGTGAACTTAACCGCTGTGTCACCAGACCGGCCCCAGCTTAATTCTTTATCACCAATTTTTAGATTGAAGATCTGGTGCAATAGGCACTTTCAAAAGGGACAAATTAGTCTTTTCCCCTTCTTTCTTTATCTCTCTCTCATTTTTTATTGAGTATTATCATACTCATAGATCTTTATTTTTTCATAGTTATAACAAATTTAAGCCATTATTCCTTTTGATGTTCAAATGATACCAAATTTGGACAACAGGAGTGCCTTCAATTGGCTCCTATGTCTTGACATTGTCCCAAAAGTTTTGGAGAACTTTCACTGGAATCATTTGTATATTTGCTTTGTTCTTAGAATTTTTATCATTAAAACATTTTTACATTTTTATATGGTCAAATACATCTAAATTTTCTTTTATAATGTCTAGATTTCTATTATTAGCCAAGGAGTTTTCCCGTCCCTAGACTGCACAAATAGTCTCCAAGCTTTTCTTATAAGATTTTTACGGTAATTCATCTAGAATTTATGTTTATATAATGAAAGATAGAAGTCTAATTTTATTTTCTCATAGATGGATATCTAGTTGTACCACTACCATTTATTAATTAACTCATCCCTTTCCCACAGACTGGAACTATTATCTCTGCCATATTTTAAATTCTTAATCTGTTCAACTGATCCACTGGTTCACTCCTAAACTAATTCCATAGGTCTTTGATTATTAAAATAGATAACTTAATCCTTTTTTTAAGCTTAGGGTAAAATCAGTTAAGATTCCACACAGATACTATAATAAGTGTGGCTACTGTACATAACACAAAGTACACAAAGCTCTTTGTTCTTTTAACAATGAGCAATTCACTCAATAGTTAAACGTATATGTAGCTGTTAAAAGATAAATAACAAAGAAAATATTCTCTTATTTATAATAGCTTATTCAAAAAGTTTTTAGCATATCTTCTTAAATCAGAAAGAGTATTTTCCAGGGGCCGGCCCCGTGGCTTAGTGGCTAAGTGTGCGCACTCCGCTACTGGCGGCCCAGGTTTGGATCCGGGGCGCACCGACACACCACTTGTCTGGCCATGCTGAGGTGGCGTCCCACATATAGCAACTAGCAGGATGTGCAACTACCATATACAACTATCTACTGGGGCTTTGGGGAGGAGAAAAAAAGGGGGGAAAAAAGGAGGAGTATCAGCAATAGATGTTAGCTCAGGGCCCGTCTTCCTCAGCAAAAAAGAGGAGGATTGGCATGGATGTTAGCTCAGGGCTGATCTTCCTCAAAAAAAAAAAAAGAGTATTTTCTAAATGATTAAGCATACAGGTATTAACACAGCTATTACATTTGGGATAAATATAGACAAATATACTTCTTATCCAAAATACAATGAATTCCACTTACCTATTTTCAGGAAGAAAAAAAGGATTCATACCTGAGCATTTGAATCAGTGAGTGTCTCAGTTCCAACAAGCGATAATTTATTCTGACACTTGATTTAAAAAGTAAAGGAAAACAAGTCACACACTATATAACCCATAGACAATTCCTTTTCCCTCCCCTTTTAGACCAGTCCTGGTAATATTCCTCTAAAATAATATACAAATATCTGATGAAAGAGAAGAGTTTGTTTAAATTCCTCACTTTCTAAGCAAGAGGATCAGGAAGGCAGCCAAACAGGTCCCAAGATGAATACATCAAAAGCAAAAGCGGATACTAGACTCTATACAGAACAAAAAAATGAGCATAAGGAAAAAAAGAACAAAGACTAATAGCTAGGGTGAATTAAAAGCCAGATACTGGAAAATGGGAAATAAGAGAATAAAAGGGAAAGCACTACAGAAAAATAACGAAAGAGGTAAGATAGTTAAATTCATAAGAAAATAAAGTCTTCAGGAGGTAGTGTTTCTATGCCATTAAAAAAAAACTACAGGGGGGCCGGCCCAGTGGCCCAAGCGGTTAGGTGCACGTGCTCCGCTGCTGCGGCCCAGGGTTCGCTGGTTCGGATCCTGGGCGCGCACCGACGCACTGCTTGGCAAGCCATGCTGTGGCGGTGTCCCATACAAAGTGGAGGAAGATGGGCACGGATGTTAGCCCAGGGCCAGTATCCCTCAGAAAAAAAGGAGGAGGATTGGCAGATGTAGCACAGGGCTGATCTCCTCACAAAAAAAAAAAAAAAAAAAGCTACAACCATTAAGAATGGTTGTATCTGAGGTAAAAATATGAGTAATTTAAATTTTATTTGTGCTTATTTCTAGCTGCAGTATTTTTCTACCAAAAAAAAAACTTGTTATTTTTAAATTCAAATTTCTATACTGAAAAAATATTAAAAGTAAAAAAAGGATTATATATAAATTATCTTAAAAATACATTAACAAGAGTACCAAAGACTTATGTTAAAAAAAATTTTTTAAAGGAAAAAAACCACTAACCTGCCCTAATCGGAAACTTTACTGGAAAGAATAGGATATGAAAAACGTCTGTGGCCTATATATTACACATTACACTACTTTAAGTAAAACAAATTTTTACCAACATACCATAGTGTACCAGAAGTGGTTCTATTTCACTACCTCAGAAAATGTACATACATCTCAAATACATTTTCTAAATTAATTCATATTTTCACACAAACTCCATAATTAGGTATTCTCCCCACTTCTATATTCTCTAGCTTAGGAAATAACCCCACCAACCACCCAATGGCCCAAATCTGGAACCTGAAACTATCTGTAATTACTCCCCATTTCACAACAATTAACCTCCAAGTCCTTTTGGTTCTACTGCCTAAATATCTTTTGACTCCATTCTTCTCTCTTTGCAATGACAGAATTTAGCCCTTCAGTACTTCTTATCAGGACTACTCCTAGCTAGGGCCTCCTAAATGCTCTTTCTACCTATATTCTCATGTTTCTGCATTCCATTTTCTTCAAAACCACCAGAGCAATATTCTCAAACTACATATCTCATCATGTCACTTCATATTTATAATCCTTTAATGGCTCCCCATAGTATACACTCAACAAAATCCTTCATGTTCTTGCCCCTAACTACCTCCCCAGTCTCAGTCCAGAAGTCCTTCTTCTCCTAATTTACATAAGTCACAATATTCTACTTAGAGTTCTCTAAACTCTCCCAACTTTTATATATTTTTATACTTTCTGCTTTGTATACTTCTCCCACTTCCACAGGCTAATTCCTACTTATCCTTTAGAAATTAATCCAGTTATTACCTCTTTTAGAAAGCTATCCTTGACCCCTTCAGTCTAGGTTTAGTACTCCTCTTAAGTACAGTCTTTGCACTTCTACCTCAGTACTTCTAATATAATGGCTGTTGCCTCCATTAGATAATAATCTCCTTGAGGGCAGGGATTGCCATAATTTTTTCTCTTTCTACAGCTCACCTAGCATAAAATTTCTTGAATGAATGCTTATAGGTCTAAAAACCATATAAATATTTATCATATAACACAATGGCTTTCAGGAACCAGCATAATTATTTCTTTCCTAAGTCTATTATTGAAATGCAATTAAATCTCATAGTAATTAATTGATATATCACTTTTATCTCTTGATACGTACTTCTTCCATATCCTTCCATATTTCTTCACATTCTTTAATAAGTTCTTCTTCAGCATCTGTAACATTTTCCACATCTGTAGTACTATCTGGATCTAGATCTTGCTGATTCACTGACATGTGCCTTGCGATTTTCTTAGCTTTATAAGAAAAACTAAAGTAAAAAATATTTATTCATTTAACAATATTTGTTGAACATCTATTACCTGCCAGAAACTCAGATAGGAGCTAAAGATGTAACAATGAACAAAATAGGCAAAAATCCTTCCTACTGTGGAGCTTACATTCTAGTTAAGGAAAACAGACAATAAACCAAAAAAATTAAAAATATATATACTGAGTATATCAAATGATTTATAAGTGCTATGGAGAAAAGTAAGGCAGAGAAGAAACAGGGAGTGCTAGGGCAGAGGCAATGTAATTTTACATAAGGTGGTTATATAAGGTCACTGAGAAGCTGACAATTAAGCAAAACATGAAAGAGATAAGGAAGTGAGACATGGGGACATGTATGCGAAGAAGCTCCAGGCAGAGGGAACTGCAAGTGCAAAGGCCTTGGGGCACAAATATGACTGTTCCTAGAGCAGCAAAACAGCCAGTGTGACCAGAGCAGAGTAAGTAAGGTAGAGAACACAAGATGAGGTCAGAGAGATAATAGGGATGACATCGTGTTGGCTTTGTAGGCCATTTTAAGGACTTAGGCTGAGATGATAAGCAATTAGAGGATTTTGAACAGAGGAATGACATGATTTGAATTACGTTTTAACAGTATAACTCTGGTTACTACAGCCAGTAAGAACAGAAGTTAGAAAGCTATTGCAATGATCCAAGTAAGATGTAGATCAGGATAAGACGGAGGCAGTACAAAATGTCCTATTCTGAATATATTTCCAAGATAGAGCCAACAGGATTTCCTAACATCCTGTGCATAGAGTGTCAAAGAAAGAGAGAAGTCAATTACTACTAAAATGTTTGGGCCTAAGCAATTGGAAAGATGGAGCTGCCAGTTACTGAGACGGGAAAGGTGGTGAAGATGGGAAAGATTCAGCAAGACATAAGGGAGTGCTGATTAAGAATTCAGTTTAGGACATGTGAAATTTAAGGTGTGTATTAGTAGAGCTGCTGATTAGCCAATTGGATATACATGCCTGGAGTACAAGGGAAAGTTCTGAGCTAGAATTTGCATCATCACCATACAGATTTTTAAAGCCATGAAGCTGGATAACATCAGAAAAGCAAGAATGTACAGAAATGAGAAAAGTCTCAGACCTAGAGATTGAGGAGATGAGGAAGAACCACCTAAACAGTCTTAGAAGGAGTGCCAGCTAAGGTAAGAGGAAAATCAAGAGTATGATATCCTGAAATCCAAGATAAGAAAGGGTTCAAGGAAGGAGTGATGAACTGCCAAATACTAGAGATAGGTCAAGTAAGATAAAAACAGAGAATTGACAATTTACTTAGCAATATATATAGGGGACTGTATTTTCCAAAAACAGTCACAGCAATTATTTCAGGTTGTCACTCCTCATCCAGACGCAGAGCCTATTTACCCTCCCCTCGAACCTGAGTGTGACTTTCTGACTGCTTTTATAAATAGAATACAATGGAAATGACGCCACATGCCTTCCAAGACTAAGTCACCAAAGGCAATATAGCTTACATCTGTCTCTCTCTCGGAACACTCACCCTTGCAACCCAGCCACATGCTGTGAGGAAGCCCAAATTAACACAAAATGAAGAGATCACACAGAGAAGCGCATGTAGAAAGAAACTGAGGTTCCCAGCCGAAAGCCAGCATCAACCACCAGACATGCACATGAACAAGTTTCCTGATGATTCAGCCCCCAGGCTTTGAGTCTTCTAGACAAGGGTCCAGACATTGTGGAGCAGAGACAAGCTGCTGTGTCTTGTCTGAACTCTTGATGCACAGAATGGCTGAGCATAATAAATGGTTGTTTTACACTTCTAAGTTTTGGGGTAATTTCTCACAAAATTTCATTAGAGTAAATCACAAAAATGGAGGCCACTGTTAAGATTATAAGAGTAGTTTCAGTAGAATGGTAGGAGTGAAAGCCTGATTGGAGTGGATTCAAGAGAGAATAGAAGGCAAGGAACCGGACATGTCCAGTATATCAAACTTTTTCAAGAATTTTTTCTCTAAAGGAAAAGAGAAATAAGGTACCACCTGGAGGGAGACTGGGGTCAAGACAGAGATTTCTTCTTTTTAAGATGAGAGAAAATACAGCATCTTTATATGATACAGTAAGAGGAAATATTGCTGATGCAGGGGAGAAAGGAGAGAACAAGAAGAATGGGACCTAGTATACAAGTAGAGGGGTTGGCTTTGGATGTACACACAATTCATCTACTTTAATGGGATGGTAAGGCAGAATATTAGGGGCACAGATGTAGGTAGGTGAGTAGATGTGTTGGTAGGAGCTTGTGGAGGTTCTGTTTGGGTTGCTTCTCTCTTCTCAGTGAAATGGTAACTAAGGTCATCAGCTGTGAATGAGGATGGAAACAAAGCATTGGAGGTTTAAGGGCAGAAGAAATGTATAAAACAGATATAAAACAGAATGGGGGGGCTGCCCGGTGGCATAGCAGTTAAGTTCGCGCGCTCCACTTCAGCGGCCCGGGGTTTGCGGGTTCGGATCTGGGGCGCACACCAACGCACCGCCTATCAAGCCATGCTGTGGTGGTGTCCCATACAAAGTAGAGGAAGATGGGCACAGATGTTAGCCCAGGGCCATTCTTCCTCAGCAAAAAGAGGAGGACTGGCATTGGATGTTAGCTCAGGGCTAATCTTCCTCACAAAAAAAAAAGAATAGGAGAGGGTAAAATAATAGGATTACTGGGCAGCACTAAGGGCCCACTTGAGATTAGCAGTCATGAATTTAAAGTGAAACTAGAATATGGTTTATGCTTTCCTCTGTAGTGTAGTAGCAAAAGTATAGAGAGAGACAAAGTGAAAGAATGACAAAGTCTCTCAGGTATGACCATAGGAGTATGTAGCTAAGACAGAGAATATCATCACTGGAGGAAAGGAGGTCAAGAAAAACAGAGGCCAGGTTATTGGAAGGATCATCTACGTGGATATTAAAATCACCAAGAGGGGCCGGCCCGGTGGCGCAAGTGGTTAAGTATGCGCACTCTGCTGCGGCGGCCCAGGGTTCACCAGTTCGGATCCCGGGTGCGCACTGACACACTGCTTGACAAGCCATGCTGTGGCAGCGTCCCATGTAAAGTGGAGAAGATGGGCATAGATGTTAGCCCAGGGACAGTCTTCCTCAGCAAAAAAAAGAGGATTGGCAGATGTTAGCTCAGGGCCGATCCTCCTCACAAAAAAAAAAAAAAAAATCACCAAGAATTATGGTAGCAGTGCTGCAGAGTAACAGTGAGCCAGGAGCTAAAAATCTTCAAGGAATGAAGGAGCACGACATAATCGTGCAAGGAGGAATGGCGGGTGGTAGACTCTGACAGCATGAGAGTCATAGTTGGGCAACTTTAAGCAGGTGGACAGAGCAATAAAGAACAATGAGGATGTCTACCCCACAACACCAAAGGCAAATCAGAATAACCCACCACCCCCAAATACTTTTATTCATATGGAACTTAAGTTTTACATAGCTTAATCAATTATTTATCAACAAAGAGGTTTTAAAAAAGACTTAGAGAGATATGTCATGTTCATAGATTGGAAGACTCAATATTATAAACATGTTAATTCCTCCAAAGTTGATCTATCCTCCAAAGTTGATCTATTGAATCTTAATCAAAATTCTAAGTTGTTTTTTTGTGGCACTTGACAAGTTAATTCTAAACTTTATACGGAAATGCAAAGGGCCGAAAAACAGCCCAAGACCCTCATGAAGAATAAGATAGGAAGACTTGCCTTACCAAATGTTAAACTTATTATAAAACTATACTGATTATGATAGTTCAGAATTAGCACATGGACAGGCAAATTAAACAATGGAACACAATACAAAGCCTTTCTAGACTCACACATTTACGGTGAGTGATATATGACAGAAGCGGCAATGCAAATTAAAGGGAAAGAAGAGGGCTGGCCCCATGGCTTAGCAGTTAGGTGCGCACGCTGCGCTACTGGCGGCCAGGGTTCGGATCCCAGGCGCGCACCGACACACCGCTTCTCCGGCCATGCTGGGGCTGCGTCCCACATACAGCAACTGGAAGGATGTGCAACTATGACATACAACTATCTACTGGGGCCCTGGGGAAAAAAAGGAGGAGGATTGGCAATAGATGTTAGCTCAGAGCCAGTCTTCCTCAGCAAAAAGAGGAGGATTAGCACGGATGTTAGCTCAAGGCTGATCTTCCTCACACAAAAAAATAAATAAATAAAAAATAAAGCAAAAGAAGAACAATCCAAATAGGAGTATATTGTATATACTATTCTGCTTTTTTTTTTAACTGTATATTTTGCCCATATAGACTCACCCCTCCTTTTTTTTTTTTTTAACAAACTACATAGTATTTGAGGGGGGAAATAAGCCTAGTTATATACGTTGATCTTTACACCACTCCTCCATCTCTCAAAAAATCCAAACAGAAATCATAAAAACCAACAGGGAGAAAACATGGAGAATTTTTTTTTTTTTTTGATCATGGATTAGGAAAGACCTTTCTAAGCAAAACTAAGTAAAATCTCTATATAAAATTTTTAAAAATTCTGCATGGACAAAGATATCATTAAAAAGTTAAAATTTAAAACCCAAAAACCTAAGAAAAATATCTCTAATATATATGGCACCCAAGACCTAATTTCCTAAATGTATAATGAATGTTTACAAATTTATAAGAAAAAACTAACAACCAATCATTAAAAAACCTAAAAAAGCAATCGCTATAAAAGTCAGGATATCAATTACTTTTGGAGGGAGGGAGAGAAGGCGGTAGGAGGAGCGAGGGGCCTGTGATTGAAGAAGACCAAATGGACAGACTTCTGAGGTGATTATTAAAGTTTTATGTCTGATCTACATGGTGATAAAGGTGTTCACCTTATAACAATTTATGAACTTTACATTTATTTTGTGTGGGGTTTTTTGTATCTGTATTTAACTTTACAATAAAAAGGTAAACAAAAAAAACAATGCAATAGAAATGGGCAAAGGACACAAATAGGGAATTTAAAGAAAAAATGAGAAATACCTTTTAAATATAGAAAAAAATGCATTCTTAACCTTAGTCATAAGTTATAAAATGCAAATTAAATAAGTTATTTTTCATTCAGACTAGCAAAAATGAAAATTTTTATAAGAAACAATATTGGCAAGAGTGTAGAACAACAGGAATGCACTGTTGGTAGACCAGTCACTTTGTAGGATAATAAGCAATATCCATCAAATTTTTTAATTCATTTATCTTTGTTTTTTTTTTTTTAATTGTTATTTATTTATTTTTTCCCCCAAAGCCCCAGTAGATAGTTGTATGTCATAGCTGCACATCCTTCTAGTTGCTGTATGTGGGACGCGGCCCCAGCACGGCTGGAGAAGCAGTGCGTCGGTGCGCGACCGGGATCCGAACCCAGGCTGCCAGCCGGGAGCAAGCGCACTTTACCGCTAAGCCACAGGGCCGGCCCAAATGCATTTATCTTTGACCCAGAAATTCCACTCGTAGTAATAATCCTACAGATAGATATATTTGCATAAGTCTACATAGGTATGCTTACTGTAGCATTATCTATAAAAAACTTTATAAGTGTGAACTCTGCAATCAGACCATCTAGGTTTAAATCCTGGCTTAGATACTTACAAGCCGTGTGACCTTGAGTAAGTCACTTAAACTGTCCGTGCCTCAGTTTCCAGTTATCTGTAAGATGAAGATAATAATATAACTTACCCCATAGAGTTGTTACGACAATTAAATGAGTTAATATATGTAAAGCTCTTAGATCTGTGCCTCACATATAAAGAGCTACATCAGTATTAGCTACTAACTTTACTATTAACAATCTCAATGTCAATCAGTAGAAGACTGGTTAAATAACTTATGCCATATCCAAAAATGTTTACGCTAAACATCTTCCTTGCTATATACAAAAGATATAGTTAAGTTCACAAAGCCATAAACAGTCATTAACGATTTTAGAATATTTTTAAGCAAAAAAGTCAAACATTATATAAATATTTGTTTCAAATATACCTTAACTTAGAAATGAAGTGCAAATTTATCTTTCCCCACTTTGTAGTATACTAATCAACAAAATACATTATCAGTATGCAAAAGTAATGTGAAACTGTGTGCGTGGATAGATATTCAACAGATTAGGTGGACTGGCAGTTCAACGTGGCATTAGAATACAAAGAAAAACATTTAAGAGTTTAACTTTATCCGTTTCCCACATTTTGTATCCTTATATCTACCTTTCTGGAAAGAGAACAAGTCACCTCTTGCGGTCCTCAGTTAGTACTCCAATTCCCAATCATTTACTGAAGAACAATACTGCTGCATTTAGGAATACTACACCACATAACTTTAAAATATCTAATATAAAACCAAAGAAACTCATACTATTATTGAAAAAAGACTAATATTCATGAAATAAAGTAATAGAAAGTACCCATATAATTCTAAGCTGTATTCATGTATCCAACAAACACCTTCCTAATGTGTGCCATTTGTCAGACACTGTGGCCACAGCTGTGTAGGGGAGAAATCTCTGACCTCAGGGAGCTTACATTCTCACTGAGGAGAGACAAAATAAACAAATGGACAACTAAATATCTGATACGATTTCCCGCAGCTAGAAGCGCCACGACGTGGTAAATGACACAACGCAGTGCTTTCAGACTTCAGGACAGCGAAGACGAGAGAAATCTGTCTGGAAGAAAAGGGCCTCGTCCGGTGCTTGGTGCACAGTACTAGCTCCCTTATCGTCCTTATCCTCATTACTATCGCCATGGGCTCTATCGGATGAGAAGCCGTAAGGGTGAAGGCTAGATTTGCTGCGGAAATGCTTTCAAGGCATAAAAACATAAGCCTGGGAGGCAAGGATGAGCACGGCAAATGTGTGAGACACGAGAGAAAGTGGTCTGATTCCAGCAGAAGGCAGAGAAGAAATGCGACTTGCCAGGTAGGATGGGTCACATAACGGGAGCCTTGAACGAGTGCTTACTACGGGCAGTTCCTTCCCTACATCTGGCGTCCACATCAAACCAAAAGGAAAGCAGAGATTTCTCTGGTTTGCAATACGTAACCAGGAGGCTTTTGAGTGGGATTTTGAAAGCAGTGTTTTAGGGCGGTCATTCTGACAAACTGTATTTAACGGATAAAAAAAGGAAGAAATTAAGATGTTAAATTCTACGTTATGTGTTTTTTACCACAATAATTTTTTTTTTGTTTTTAAGAAGACAGCTGAAGTCCAGAAGGCCACTAAGAGAGAGATGGAAGCTTAGCGCAGGGAGAAGGCGGCAGAAGGTTGAAAGGTCCTGCCGTAGGCCACCTAGGTTACTCGGCGTGGCTGGTTCTCTCGCCCGAAAACAGGACCAAGCGCTCGCCACCTTCTTCAGAGAGAGTGGGAGAGACCGAAGAAGCGCAGGGGAGAAGACATGTTTGGAGCCCTTGAGGGGAGGCCCGCCCGTCAACCAGTGCCATCGATTCCCCAGCCCTCCCTCTTTTTCTCCTAAGCCGCGGGGGTCTAGAGCCGACGAGCACGACTCAAGGCCTGGCTGCACGTCGGGTATCCAGGTCCCCGGAGGTAAGGCCCCACCTTTGGGGCTGCAGCTCCATATCGTAGGAGCTGCCAGCCCGGCGGCAAGTTCCAACCGTCACGGTGCCCGCCCTGGCCCTCCTCTTACCACCACAGAGGTGCAGACTTCAGCTCGCCTCAGCCTGGCGAAAACAAGGCTTCCCCGCCCAGGACCCGTGCGCGCGCTGCTTGCTGACTGGATCTGCTCCGACCCGCCCCAGCCAATCCCGAAACTCGCTCGGCCGCTGACGACAGGGCTGCGCCGCTGCTTTGGGATTGGTAGCCGAGCTGTGGGTGTCGCGCCTTCTCTGACGTTAGTACAATATGGCGGCGGAAGGTGGTAGCGATTCGCAGCAGAGGAGGAGAAGGCGCCGGGACATCGAGGAACCGGAAAAAACGGAACGCAGCGAAACAGAGCTGGCATTGTCAGTGGCCGTGGCCCAAGAGAACGAAGAGGAGAATGAAGAGCGCTGGGTTGGGCCTTTACCTGTAGAGGCAACATTGGCCAAGAAGAGGAAAGGTAGCTACAGAGACAGGCACAGGGCGAGTTGGAATGCTGCGTCCTCCAGACCCGAAAACGGATGGCGTTTGATTGTGGGTTTTGTGCTCTCAGAACAGAGGGTCATCTTCTCACTTCTGGCCGCTCTGTACTTGCACGTCCTCCAAAGATAGTGATTTGGGTTGAGTACAGCGTCTTTTGGATGATATCTAACACTATTAATCACTGATTTGTAATGATAGATGCTAAGGCTAACTTATACCAATACTTATTATGTGCTTGGCGCCTCTCATTTAGTCATACGAGTTTGGAATTTCTAACTTTAGCAGAGTGGACAAGTACTGGGTATTTTTAAAGTTGTTCATTCAGGAGTGGTATTAGTCTGTTGGGACGCGGGGGGATGGCGGTACCTATTGAAAATCGGGGGAGGAGGGAGGCGGTACGTATTTAGAAAACGTGTAAGACCATTAAAATGTGATCTTTCTGAAAGCTCAAATCTTAGTTTATCACTCTCCCTACTTGACTCTTCAGTGGTTTCTCATTATTTTCAAAACAAGTCCAAACTCTCTAACATGGCATACACGGACCTTCATGTTATGGTCTCTCCTTACCTCCCCAGCACATTTCCGTTACTTCACTTTCCTAACCCCTGTCTTCCTCTTGACTGTGCTCCAGCCGTACTAAAGCACTTGAGAATGGGTCATGCTCTTTTTCTCCTCTGGATGCCTGCCGGGGGTATCATGGTGCTTCTACCTGGAATAATTACCCTCACTCCTTTCACTTGGGTAACTTTTGTTCAGCCTTTACCACTCAGCTCAGCTATCACTTCCTCTGGGAAGCCTGTGACTTCTCCAGTCTGGGCTGGGTTTTAAAGCACTTTGATCAGAACTCTGAGGTCACGTTTATCGCACAGAATTTACAGATAATCTTCACGTTTTATGTATCCAAATTTTGAAGAAGCTACTTTGAACATTTCACATTGACACCCTTAAAGTGTGTTACCTTTTTCACTGCCAGGTCTTCCTGTTAAATGCTTCCATAGCAACTTTTTCCTTATTTCACTTGCTAAAATTTTGTAATTGTATATTTATTCATGTGATTGTCTGGTTAATGTTTCTCTCCACTGCTTAGACTAAGCATATAAGAGCAAGGACCATGCCTGTTTGGCTCCAGTGCTTGGTACAGTGCTTTGCATATAGCAGATGCTCAATAAGTATTTATTGAATGAATGAATATTACAATATTTATGCTCTATTTTATTGCATTAGAATATTTTTGCTTGTCCTTTTTGATAGAAATGAATGAGGGGAATGGGAAAATCCAAAAATATCACAGTGCTGATATTAGTGTTAGGAGATAAAGATCTTATAAACTTAATACAATTGAGACAGAGATGGAAATTGTTAGGTATGAAAACCTTTACCCTTAATTAGATGCTTATTGTATTTAAGCCAGTCAATAGTGTATTCAGTTTGAAGAAAAATTGAAATTAAAAAACTTGTATGAAATGTTAGAAAAATATCATTGAATATTTTATCTAAAAGGACAGGGGTTTAATAATATATATAGCTTTATAGAAACGAAACTCTCCCCTTTAACATGTTCTTTGGACATTGGACTTCTGTATACATTTTCAGAAAAACATTATAAATGATTATGGCACTACCTTTAATTGAACTGATGGTTTCTCAAGGACAGGAACTACGTGTTACTTGTCTTTATGTCCTTGTGCCTTCGAACCTATTTTGTTTTTAGTAAATATCTGTTCAACAAGTGAACTAACAGCAAAAGGAATATATATCAGATGGGTTTAAATTTAGCTGCATATTACAGAAAAACCTGAAGTGACAATAACATTAAAAAGATAGAGATATACTTCTCTCATGTGTAAAAGAAATCCCAAAGTAGACAGTCTGGGGTTGGTATGGAGGTTCCAAAGGGACCTAGGCTTTTTCCAGCTTTCTCCCCAAACATTACTAGGGTATAGCCCTCATCTTTGTCCTGAGTGGTTATTAGAATTACAGTGCTCATCCCAGTTCCAAGCTATAGAACTGAGGAAGGGAAAAAGGGCACAACTTTTCAAGGAGACTTCTTGACGGTCACGCAACGCTTCCACTTTTATCCCATTGGCAAATGAGATAACTCCTAACTGCAGGAGGAGGTGAGAATGGTCATCTTATATCTGAACATTAATATGTCCATATAAAAATGAAAGGAAAAGTAGTTCATCAGATACAACTTTGAGTCTGCTATACAATAGTTACGAAAAACAAACATCGCTCCATGTTTAATTTAGCAACTGTTTATACACATTTGGCCATCATTGGATTATTAGGTGCATGTATATCATTTTTTACTAGTAAAAGTGTTCATAGCTCATATAATGAAATCAGTATTTCCTTAGATTACCACTCTTACAGATGTTTTGCTGCTGGAAAAAGTTTGAGAAGCACTCAACTGAATATTCTGTAGGATTCTCTCAGCTCTAAAGATCTAGGCATTTTATTAACATTTACCTGTTTCAAACCCAGTATCAGTGACTTCAAAGAGGATCAGTGCCTTAAAGCTAAACTGAGATATCTTATAGGTGGCCGCTTGCCCCTTATTA